TCTTTTCCATCTCCGAAAGAGAGGGTCAGGGATAAGCTGAAATCATCGATTTGCTGTTTCCGTATGACAAATCACGGTGAGGCAGCGACGATAGACCTGGATGAGTTGAAGCCGAGGACGCTGCGATCGCTGTACACTTGGCTGAAATCGACGGCGCATGAACTGGAGATCAAGGACAGGTGCAAGAATCTGATCGCCAGAATCGAGAAGCAAGGAGGTCGCAGGCAGCACAGTTCGTCCGATTTCAGCTACGATCCTTTGAGTTACGCGCTAAACTTCGAGGACGAGGTGAGCTGGGTAGACAAGATGCCAGTTATTAGCTTCCCTTCTGTCTTCGCGCCTCGCCGGAGCAGATCATTGGGACCAACTGCAGAAACCTGAAAGAAAAAGAACCCAGAAACGTAGTGAGCATGGTGTTTGATTATGGGATTTTTTCTTGGATTGTTTGACAGAGGACAGGGAATTTTTCTGGGGTTTTTGTTTCTGGTTTTGTAAGCTAGTTTGGTGTTTTGAAGGGCACGAGAAGATTGGGTTTTCAATGGAGGCTAGAACAAGAACTAGATATCTGACATTTTGAAGGCAAAAATGGATTTCGCAGAGGAGAAAAACCTATATCCCCAATTTTAAGCTTCGGAGCGGGGGCCATGTCAAAAAAAAAAAAAAGAATCCACGTCAACCCATGTTTCAAAATGAGGTCCCACATGTGTCAAGCCAGTAATGTATTAATAGTAGAAAAATAAGTTTCACGGTAAATTAACATTTCATTATGTTATATATTTGGTTTTGATTAATTTATTTTAATAGAAAAATAAGTGTGTTAATTTATTTTTGTATATAAGTGACATAGTTCAAATATTACAAAAAAAAAAAAATTATGAGATTAATTTCAACAAAATCAAAAAATACATGGGTTAAAATACTTTTTTCGCCTACCCTAAATATACCTTAACCATTAAACCAAAATAGATGAAGGATGCAATGAATTTTTTTTTCGTATTAAATGAAAGAGATCAATCTATCATTTAATTGGTTAAAAATTCTTTAATTTATTTTGTACTCTCCCATTTCTCTTAATCCAAACACATTGTTAGTGTTTCTTAATTCAATTTCAGTCACGCTCGTTTCAATGACACTGAGAGCTGGCCGATATGAAGACTTCATTTGAGAATGTTAGCTACAGACTTTTTTCTCACACGGTTTCTTATTTAAAAAGAGGTTTTAACCTATCGTATCTAATTACTACTCTTTTTAATCATTAAATTATATGAAAAATAAAAAAATTAATATTAATTTTAACACTAAATACATTGTTTTAATTAGTTAATTAATAAAATTAAAGTTAAGATAAAAAAATAAAATTAATTTTTATTTTTTTGTAATTTAATAATTAAAAAGCATAATAATTACATTTTTAATTTAAAATTTTAATTAATAATGTAAATTTATAATTATTAATTAATTTTTATGTAGTGAATTTTAATTAAGATTATATATATATTGAACAAGAAGAATTATGAGGGGATTTGTCAAATAGTTGATGAGAGTTGAAATCTCGATCAACTAAACTTAAATATTAAAATTTAAAAAGGAACCATTAGACCCAAAAACTTGGTTTAATATTATATATATATATATTTTTTTTTATATTAGTTGTATAATGAGAGGTAATCCTCTCCCGTTTCTTATCTTACCTCACTCACATATTATATGATTCAAATGCAAGACCTTTTACTTCTAGTGAAAAGAGATTACTACTAAATTATTTAGTTCATTGATTATATATATATTTGAATATTTTATTATGGGACCGACTCGAATCGTTGTCCTTATAGAGGAAGATATGAACCTTATAAGAGTGATCAAAGCTACTTGACCCACGGACCAGGTTCCATTGGCTATATATATTTGGTTTAGATAAAGACAAAACAACTTATAAGTATACTTAGGGCGAAGTACAACACATCAATTGCAAAGGAAGTCTAAGTAACATACAAGACCTAACTAGTTAGTTTTACTAGAAAAGTTTTTATTAAAAAATTTGTTGAGAATATATTATATATATAGAAAATTAATAAATATTGTAATGAAATTTTATTAAAATTTTATTATATTATTAATTTTTTTATATTTGGTATAAATTGACATAAAATTTTTGTTTGGTAAGAAATTAAACTCTTGATATTAATTAGTGGCTCTCTCCCTATCCAATAATTTTTATTTTATAGTCTAGACAAAACTCTTATAATTTTTTTTTATTTTTTATTTTTTATTTTTTTTTGGGTTGGGAGGTGTTTTAAGACTGCATTTGGATTTTGGAATACAACTTCTATTCTAGTAAAAACTGCTGCGCCCAATGGTTGTTACTTGTCTGCCATAAAAAACTATTGAATGATGATGTTTAGTTAATAACAACCAAGTATAGATGTTTAGGCAATTAAACACGCCTAAATTTTTTTCCTAAAAGTTTATCTTGCCAGGTCCAAGTCCGGACTAAGCATATCACGGATTCTGGCAATTCTCTATCTTTATATACTTGTGCTATCTTTACATACTTGTGCTAGCAGACGATTCAATTAAGTCTCTTATTTATCAAAATTTTCAACAACAAACCCATAAATTTGGGAACAAGAAGATCCATGATGTGCGCCAACAATCCCTTTCTAATTGTCATCGTTTATACTAATAACAAGGGAAGTTTCTTAGTGGCTTTATGATAACAATCAGTCTGGAAAATCCAACAAAATTTTTTATTCACACTAATGGTACGTATGAGAGTTGGTTGGTTCACTTCGTATATCCGAAGAGACTACATATGCTCTGTTCATTTTCAGAGCAGGTTCTGCTACTTGTTCTCGATCTGCATATCCTTAATCAACTACCTTACTATTAAAGAGCTTGAAATTTTTGGCATCGAGAACTAATTTCCTAATAGAAGTGAAAGAGCCCAAAATTCCCACACCTGTAAATGCAATGATGATGAAAATGTTAATCCAGTAGGTGCAGGATGATTTTGGAGGCTTGTAGGTCATGTTATAGAGGAGCATGGGGAGAACAAAATCTAGAGGGATGAAGCCAATAGCCCCCACCACGCCACTTATGTCTCCAAAGAAAGGAAGCATTGCTGCCACAAATCCACAGAATATCATGTAGAGTGTTCGGAGGATTACCCTAGGAATAAGGTTCCTTTTGGAAAACATCCCCTGATTCACATCAGCCGACTGCTTTTCCATGATCTCATAAGCCACTTGAGAATAAACCTGTATTGTAATGGACAAAGATTACCACAATACAACCTGAAATAAGGTTTGGTAGTTTAGAAAGACTAGTGGCTGCTCACGCTAAAACTATTTTCCCTTTTGAATTGGAATTACAAACAAAATTGATCTTCTCTATAATTTAATCAAAACAAGGGTATATATGCAGCTTACCAGGCCAATTGCAAAGAGCTGTAAGAGGACAAAGACAACTGCAAGGCCAACAACTATAGTTAGGGCTAAGGAAGGTCCATCATCTAGCATCAGGTTCTTGAGAATGTTTGAATAAGCTTTGTTTCCGAATGCCCAATAACCAGAGAAAGCAGCTAAGTAGAAAGTGACGAAAATTACAGTATAGCACATTGCTAGGCCTTTTACCATCTTTCCAGTTGCAGGTGGTGCTATTGTTGCCTGTGTTAATGGCATGTTAAAGGGAAATCTATGTCAGTTAGACCATGTACATCTCAATAGGTTGCTCAAAAAAGTTTACATGATCACATGATTCAAAATTTTAGATTGGGCCATTTGCAATTGTTTATAGCAGCAAATGTAGCCTTTCATCTTCATAAGATTTTAATCTTAACTGTCATTTTGCTCTGCTACGAAGCATCTAGAGAAAAAGAACGCTTGGAATCTTATTTGGCTTAGCAGATGAAGAGACTGATATCAGAATAGGAATTACTTGTATTTCAGGGAGTATCCCATTTCCAAAAATGGCAGCTAATATGGAGATGGAAGTAAAGGCACTGAACACCCTAGCAGAACTTGATGCTTCCAGGGAATAGTCTCTGGGAGGGGCATTTTTAGAGAGACCTGTAGGGAAACAACACATATTACAATCCAAAAAAGAAGCTACAAACATGTCTATATCATCTAGTGGAGGAAAAAATTCTATCTACTAACATAGAAATATGCAAAAGATGGAAGTTCAGCTTTAATCTTCAAGGAGCCGAAGTCAAGAATTTCGAAGTAACTAAAATCTCAAGAAATTTACTTGAAATTACCAGAGAATGAGTGTAAAAACCTTGTAAGTTATCTGTCAGGCCGGGTTAGCCATTAAAGGCAAATTTTAGATGTTACTTTATACTATGAAAGACCTAGCATATTACTTATCAATCTTTAGAAAATTTACTTGAAACACCATTTTTTATCACAGCTAACAATCCACTTTACTGTTTGGGCTCAATACTGAAATTTATTCAAGAGGACCCGGCAGTGATTTATTCACATGCTAGCTTGTCAGCAAAATCTCTCAACATAATAATTGGGATTCTACTTCAGGATATAGAAGAGGAAGCAATAATCTGGGACTGGCGGACCAACCATTTAATGATACTCTACCACAAACATATTACTATAATTAGCCCTGATGATTTCCTGGAGTAGACTCTGCTAACAGGCAGCCATATTTCTTATGAATGCATTCGAGACATCAACCATTCAATGATTAGAAAGGAAGTGTACGATTGGTATACCTGCATGTATACAAGCACCGACGACAAGGAAAGTGTAGCCTAAGCTCAGAAGTAGTGAAACCAGGTTGATGTACCTGAGGGAGTGAAAGGTTGGAAATTGAGACAGAAGTATCATCACCACAGTCACCATTGCAATAAACTCACACAGCTTCAAGGATCCACTGGGAGCAAGGTTTGAGTACATGATCTTTTTCACAACCAAGGAGGAAAAAGGAATAATTAACTAATTAGTACCATACTACATCCAACAAAATTATAACTAGTAATCATTCAAGTAGATACACTTAACAAAGGAAAATATCCAAATGAAACCATCCAAAAAGGGTCATAATCTTTTATATGAAGAAGATTGCCTATTCCAGTTAATTAACATGCAAACCATTTGCAAGCATAGAACCACTAATTGTGATGGGGGCATGATATAATGGCAAAGAGTTTCATTTTCAGTAGGATCACATGATCAGTCATGTAAATTATTTCATCTCATGATCAAGCTATCGGTTCCCTTTTTAATTAGATATAAGCATCTTAATTTGTCATATATCTAAGATTGGTAAATTACTTCAGGTTTTGATGCTAGCACAAATAATTGACAATAATTTATCAACTAACTGATTTAATTTTCTCATCTGAGCAACAAAAGCAATGGCACCTATATATCATCATCTTTGAAAAACTAGATTGTATGGTCCCTTTTCAACCCCACCAAACCCCAAAAGAGCATGTATAAGAGGCTTTCACATTTCACATAAATTTCTGGTCATCAGTGCAAAGACTAGCAACCCAATACATGAAACAATACCAATGTATATTTTCATTGAAGTAAATATATAGATGGAGGACCAATGGAATATTGTACCTGGAGGCATTCCCCTGCAAGCAAAATCGCTCCTATTCCAAGCCCGGTATTGATAGCTGTTTGAATGAATATTACGAAATAAAACATCCATCCAGACCCTGCACCAAAACATAAACAACAAGCCGTTAGACCCAATTTTTTAAAACTATATTTATCTAATTGCTGCTATACAACAATAATAGCTCCTCTGTTCCTTTTCCTTGTTACACCACCGAAAGCCATCAGTGGTGGAATAATCAAAACCTATCACCGAAAGCCACGTATAGTCTACGAAAGTCTACGACTCTTTTTAAACCCTTCATCAAGGATCCAATTTTTGTGCCTTCTCTTAGGTAGATGACTGGAATTAAAGATATTTTATTTTAAATATAAAAGATGTATTATTAAATTGTTTAAATAATTAATATTATTAATATATTATATATATAATTTTAATATCATATTATATTTATTTAATTAACCGTAATATTATCATTATAATATTATCATTTTACCTAAAACATCAGCGGCGAGCTCGCGGAAGCGGATGTGACGGCGGCCGGCTTTCTCGCAGTGATCAAGCACCTTAGACAGGAGATAATAAGAGTAGAAGGTGACGCATCCCATTGCAGTTAAACAGAAGAAACCCAGGCCCCATCCCAATCCCCTGAACACGTACGATAATGTCAACACCGTCGGCCCCACTATTGCCGTCGTCAAATGAAAGCCGGCATGCCACCACTTCCCTATACCAAGAAAAAAAAAAAGAAGAAGAAGTAAAAACAGGATTAACAACAATCCAATCGATCACCACTCCGGTTGTTTGCATGCGTGTTGGTACCATCGTTACTATCCTTCACCTTTTGATTCGAGAACAAAGGCTGCTCCAGCGTCGGATTTGAGTCGGGACTCCGGGAAAGGGTCTGCTTGCGGAGGTTGCGGCATTTCCTTGTTTTCGGGTCAGCGAGAGAGGCTGACAACGAAATATAAGCAGAAGAGGAGAAACCCAGACTGGGGTTGGAATCTGTTGGAAATTTTTGACACCACAATCCTCAACATAGGGAAGCAATAAATAATTTGAAACAATAATTTAATATGATTTAAATGGTATAATTTACAATAAATCTACGTTTATAATGAAAAAGACAGCCATGAAAAAGACGTAAGAAGGACAGAAATGAATCTATCATAAAAAAAAAAAGTACAGTAATTTAAAAAGTTTCTCATTTAAGATAATTTCAATACTCTTACTTCAATATATAAAAGTTATAGAAGCTCCCAATTTCTCTTCGATACTTTCTCTTAGTTTTCGTAAAAATTATCTCACAATTTCATTTTTTTCTTTTCCTCTCTTTCCTTTCCTTTCTCTCACAAGAGTACTCACTCATTAAACTCTTCTTAGTCTCTCTTGCGTCTTCTGCCTTGCACCAAGCTCTATTTATAGAGATAATCAACTCACCTGAGCAAATGTGAACAAGCCGAATAAAACCCCTTTAGGGTGGTGCTGTGTCTAGCAATAGGCTGGAAGAATTCTTCTTGCAATCAAGCCTTCTATCAACATGGAAATAAATACCATGAGTAAATTTCAACAATTACAACATGGTAATAAATGCCATGAAAGGTTAAAGAAAGAAAGTTCTCCAATTTTCAACATTTTACACCATCTTTCAATGGGGTTGGAACATTTTGTCAACAATCTCCCCCTCCAGCCCCATAGGAGAAACCAACTGTGACTCCATTTCGGCCATTGATATAAAAATGCTCCTCAATATTTTTACTCACCAAAATTCGACTCTCACTACTTAAGAACATTGCATCATGGTGTCCTATCTTTGAAAGTTTCCTCTTAGTATAGGATAGAACAAACCTACATTAAGTAAACTATAGAAATTAATTTTGAACCAAAATATGATATGAAAAAGAATCACTTCTCCTTAAACCAACATCAAACATCACTTCATTTTTTAAGCTCACCTTCTTCTTAGTCTTATTAATTTCCTTGTCATCTACCATGATCCCTTTAGGCTTCCACAACATCTTTCTCATGGTCTTGTTAAGCCCTCTCTCAGGATGTTGCTTAAGCACATAGATGTTGTACTTGTTCTTCCTTGCACATAGAACAAGTCTTCCACCTTTGTAGACTTTGCACCATTCTTACTTTGCAACATACTTGCACCCTCGCGTTGTCAACTCACTCAAAGTAATAATATTGCTTGAACATTTGGGCACATATCTCACATTTTTGAGAATCTTGGCTCTCCCATTGTGAATATTGAGAACATCTTTAATGTGCCTTCAATATTTACATTCTCGCTAGTAGCCATCGTTATTTTGCCAAGCTCTTCCCAAACCAAACTCACAAATTCAGAAAGATTATTGCACAATGCATTGATCCAGCGGACTTCCAAATCCGCCTATAGTTTTTTTTCTCCACTTCAGGATCACAATCTTCACAAACTAATAATTCAATCACATTTTCTTCAATAATGTTGACCTCCCCCTAGCCCTTGGTTTCTTGATTTTTCATTAATATTTTCACATTAGAAAAATCCTCCTTAAACTTTGGGCATTTAAATTATTTGCGACCCAACTCATCACAATAGAAACACTCAACTTCACTATAATCCTTCCTAAGCCTAAATTTTGACCTTTCTCGATTTCCTTCACCTCCACGTCCATAGGATCTTCCCCAAGATTGCTCCATCACCAAAGTATTATTTTGATTGGCACCATCATCCTCCTTAAGAAACTTATTATTCTCCAATACCATGGTTGTGGCATCTTTCCTCACCAAAGCAGTCTTACCCACCAGCATACTTTGCACTAGGGACTTGTAAGACTTAGGTAAGGATGCAAGGAAAAGCAAAGCTTTCTTCTCTTCTTCTAGAATATCCCTAGCATTCATTACTTGCGTCACCTTTATGTTGAAATCAGATAAGTGCTTATGAATGTTAGTGCCTTCTACCATCTTCAATTGATATAGCTCCATCTTTAAATACAATCAATTGGTTAAAGATTTTGAATCATATATCCCTTCAAGCTTCTTCCACATACCTATTGAAATAGTCTCTAAAAGGACATTGTATTTCACCTCTAGTGCAAGTGCCAATCAAATTTGACTTGCTCATTTATTTGGATAGTACTCCAATCATTATCCTTCACCTCAGCAGGCTTGGTCTCTTCTAGGGCTGTATCAAGTCCTTGACAAGTAAGGACATCCTTCATAGTGCTTTGCCATAAAGCAAAGTCATTCTTGCCATCGAACAACTCAATCAAATACTTCCTTGTGTCAATTTGCATTTCACCATAACACTAGGAGCTTTACCAATGGCTATGATACCATTTGTTGGGAATTTTTAGCACCACAATCCCACACAAATGGAAGTAGTAAAGAATTTAAGACAACAATTTAATGCGGTTTGACTCATATACCTCATAATAAGTCTACATACATGGGAAAGAAAGAAATGAATCCACTATTAAGAAAAAATATACAACAATTTAAAAACCTTCTCACTCAAGAAACTCTCAATACCCTAACCTCAATATATAAAAGATCCTAAATTCTCCCTAATACTCTCTCTTAATCTTCACAGAGATTATCTCACAATTTCTCTCATCTCATAATTTCTCTCTTTCTTTTCTCTTACAAGAGCACTCACTCACTTGGCTCTTCTTAATTTCACTTCGTTGTTTCTTCTGCCTTGCACCTAGCTCTATTTATAGAGCTCATTAACTCACTTGAGCAAATGTGAACAAGCCGAACAAGACTCCTCTAGGGTGGCGCCGTGTAGCAATAGGCTAGAGGAATTCTTTTTGCAATCAAGCCTTTTGTCAACATGACAATAAATACCATGAGTAAATTTCAACAATTACAACATGATAATAAATGCCATGAAAGGTGAAAGAAAGAAAACTCCCCTATTTTCAATATTTTACACTACCTTTCAATGAGGTTGGAACATTTTGTCAACAGAATCAAGGAGGCTTCAGAAAAGAAGCTAGAGGAGGAGGAAAGGTTGCTCCTAGCTGCCCAGGACGTGAATGGGAATAAGATGGTCTCTATAATAATTATGTCTTTTGAATTCTTAACGTAAGTATCCTACACGTTCATCCAAAAAAATAAGTACCCTACATAAAAAAATTAATAATAATAAAGTAAGTATATTTAGTGTATATAAATAAACTAATCCTTTGTATGCTTTAGTTATTAAGATAGTTCGTGATCGTAGTTATTAAGTGATAGTTGATAAAAATATATAAATTTAAAATAGAATTATAAATGAATGGTTTTAAATACTTAATCCATTGTTTAAGAAAAAGGTCTCTTAGGGGATGGTTAGTGGTTAAAAACTTGAATTTTTATGTTGGAGGTCTCAATTCAAATCCTATAATAGATAGGAAAGAGTTTGGGAATAGAAAGGTTATTTTTTTGTTACATAACCCATCATCTAACATTAAAAAAAAAAAAAAAAAAAGTCAACGAGTTAAGTAGTTCAATGATCATTTTGTTTTATTATAAGAGGTCTTGAGTTTAAATCGCATGGCATGCGGATGTGATATGATAAAAGATAGAAGATGGTTGCCTCCCATTGTGCAATCAAGATAAAACAAAAAAAAAACATTATAAAAAAAAACGTATGTAAGAAAAAAAAATTTAGATTGATAAAAAGTTAGTAGATAACTAGAATTAGGCCCCATCGCTTTTGCTCTTTGTCACCTTCCATCACCACGGATGCTGCAGGCTTGTTGTACTCTTCCAATTCTTTCCTGTATGCTTCCATGGCTTCAACTGCTTTTGAATTCCAGACCTGTGTCTCTTCCTCATTCAGTTCCTATAACCCAAAACACCAGCCAAAATGAATTAATTAATTACGATAACAGTCTGACACAATAATCTAAAGGGATTGATTTAATTATACATGAACTATATAGTACCTTCCATTTCACTGAAATCAGTGCATTGAGGGTGGAATTGTTCATTTCTGGTCGCTCCTGCATCGGGTTTTCCTTGCTTCTTTGCTGAACAGAAGGAATGAGGAAACGGGCTTCTTTGGCCTGTTAGGGTCAGAATTGCTGCTACTGGCGTTTTTTAATGCGTGCAGAAAAAAACTTAAATGTAGACATCATTTTTTTGAAGGATTTTTATTATATTATATTATTTAATTTATTTTCATTTTTTATTTTTAATACATATTTTTTATTTTTTATTATTAATGATTTAATTGAGTTTAGTTTTGTAATAATAGGATAGATCTTGGTTTGGGATATAAAATCACATTTTAGTTCTCTATTGTTATTTTAAATTATATTTAAGTTTAGATTGTAATAGATAATATTTTATTAAAATTTTACTAATTTCATTTAAGTTTGGATTGAAAATAAATAATATTTATTAAATCTTAATTTTAAAAAATAAAACAAAATATCATTCAATAAGTATATAAGTATATATTCGCAAGTTACATGCGACCTGTTGAGTTAAGTATCAAGTATAGATTTTTAAATATTTGGGTGAATATCAAGTATAGAAAATTATACTTAATAATTTTTATATCAAATATCAAATATTTTTTATATCAAATTTATATTAAAAAATGCTCACCTCTGTCCACAAGGACCACAACATTTATATCCGAAATTGAAGAGTGCAGTTCAGAGTTGATTGGGCCATTGAAATTAAAGGGCCTAATCTTATGAAGTCCAACGAGCGATTGTCCGGATTCAGTCTCAAAAGCACCACACTTACTGTTAATGTTATTGCTTTAGTTTTTTTAGTATGCATATATAGTTTTTACCAACGATTATATCAGTTTTTACCCACAACTTAAATAGTTTAATAGTCATCTCCTTCTGTTGAAAGTAAGAGATTTTAAATTCGACTTACATGGCATGCAGATGGGATGAGAATAAAAGATAAGAGATAGTTATCTCTCATTATGCAATCAAGATAAAATATATATATATATATATATATCAATTTTTATATTATTATTATGTTAATAAATTTAATTAAATAATTAATAAATTAAAAATTAATTTTTATTTTTTAATATATAAATTTATAAAACAATATATTTATCACATTCTTAATATGTGCCTTTAAGTCACATAATAAAAAAGGCTCTTAATCTTTTTACCAAGCATCATACATTGAATTAGACAGACGCTAGTAGATGAAACAATGCAAGAATCTTGAAAAAGGTACGGAACTTAGACATCTTTGGTGAGGGAAAGATGGTAAATTACAATAATTTGTTTCTTTAGAGAACCTAAGTTATAGCGAATTTGAATTGGCAGGAATTAGGAGAAAGGAAATTAAAAAAAAAAAAAAATGGCGCAAGCTACCCTAAACATACCTTGACCATTAAACCAAAATAAATGAATGATGCAATGAGTTTTCTTTATATTAAATGAAAGAGACAAACCTCTCATTTAATTGGGGAAAAATTCTTTAATTCTATCTGGTACTTTCTCTCATTTCTCCTAATCCAAACAAATTGTTAGTGTTTCTTGATTCAATTTCAGTCACACTTGTCTGCAATGACACTGGGAACTGGCCAATATGAAGACTTCGTTTGAGAATATTAGTTACAGACTTTTTTCTCGCACAATTTCTTATTTAAAGAGGTTTTTTAACCTACATGTTTAATTATTACTTTTTTAGTCATTAAATCATATAAAAAAATAAAACGAATTAATATTAATTTTAACATCAATATTACAGGTATTGTTTTAATTAGTTAGTTAATAAAATTAAAATCAATTTTTATTTTTATTTTTTGTAATTTAATGGCTAAAAGGTACAATAATTACATCCTTAAATTAAAAATTCATCTAAAAATATAAATTTATAATTATTAATTAATTTTTATATAATTAATTTTAATTAGTATTTTATATATATTTGGTTTAGACAAAGAAAAAATAACTTACAACTATAATTGGTGCATAGCAGAATACATCAATTGCAAAGGAAGTCTAAGTAACATATCCTACTACTTGTTTAGTTGGAGATTAATTTTATTAAAAATGTTTTATTGAGAAATTTGTTGGGAATATATTGTATAGAAACTTAACAAATGTTGTAATGAAATTTTATTAGAATTTTATTAAGTTGTTAATTTTTTGAATTTAATATAAATTTGACATAAAATTTATGTTTGGTAAAAAAGTAAACTAATATTAATTAGTGACTCCTCTTATCTAATAATTCTTGTTTTGACTAGACAAAACACTTATAATTTTCATTTTTTTTCTTTGCTTTTTTGGTTGGGGGATAAGACTGCATTTGGATTTTGGAATGCAACTTTTATTCTAGTAGAAACTGCTGCGCCGAATGGTTGTCACTTACCTGCCATAAAAAACTATTGAATGATGATGTTTAGTCAATAACAACTAAATATAGATGTTTAGGAAATTAATGATATCACCGATTTTGACAATTCTCTGTTTTTATATACTTGTGTTAGAAGACGATCAAAGTAAATCTTATTTATCAAAAATTTTCAACAACAAACCCATGAATTTGGGAACAACAAGATCCATGATTTGCGTCAACAATCCCTCTCTAATTGTCATTGTTTATACTAATAACAAGCTAGGGAAGTTTCTTGGTTGCTTTATGGAAACAATCAGTGTGGAAAATACAACAAAAGTTTTTATTCACACTAATAGTACATTGTTAGTTGGTTGGTTCACTTCCTATATCCGAAGAGACTACATATGCTCTTTTCATTTTCAGAGCAGGTTCTGCTACTTGTTCTCTGCATATCCTTAATCAACTACGTTACTACTAAAGAGCTTGAAATTGCTGGCATCAAGAACCAACTACCTAATAGAAGAGAGAGCCTGTGATTAAGCGAGAGACAGTAACAAACTAACAATGCTTGGTGCCCTCTTCATCTCCAACCAGAAACATCAAATATCTTTTATATTGCACTTGGTTAAATAACACCACTTGAGATCGAGATAACTCAAATTCTTAATTATTAGAACGAACTCTTGAGAACAACAAAGATAAAAAACTTACAAGTTACAACACGTACAATTATTAATTACCAACTTTCAAGATAGTCAGTTTTTTTTATTGGTTGTTCCAGATTTCTACCATTTGGGCCAGTGATTTTGTGGATGATCCATCTGGGCTCAAAACATTTTCAGCTGCATCCTTCAATTTCTGCATCCTGTTTCTGAGCAACTTACCTTCTTCACCCGCAATCAGCCCCTTGGCATATTCGGCAATATCTTCTCGACCCACGACACCGTTTTCTTTCGCTTTAACCCTCAATGCCACCTGTAAATCATCGGCTAAGAGCACTGCATTCATTCTCTGCTCAGCGTAGAGAGGCCAAGCAATCAACGGCACCCCGTGGACAATGCTCTCCAAGGTCGAGTTCCAGCCGCAGTGAGTCACGAACCCTCCAGTCGAGCCATGGCTCAGTATTTGAGCCTGAGGGGCCCAAGATGGGACCACCAGGCCAACGCCTTTAGTCCTTTCCAGGAATCCATTAGGCAAAAAATCAAAAGGGTCTCCAATACTTTCCACGCCGAAGTAAGTAGCGTTGGTAGCTTTGTCATGTGGGCTTTTTACGACCCACAAAAACCTTTGTCTACTCGTTTCCAGGCCTATCGCCAATTCATTTACCTGGTCCTGAGAAAGAGTCCCCCCGCTTCCGAAACAAACGTAAAGAACCGACCCGCTAGGCTGTTCATCCAGCCACTTCAGACAATTATTATTATTATTATTATTATTATTAAACCCTTCAACTTGGTGTACTGAACCGGTTTGTACCAGTGGTCCAACGGGGCAAATCGGTGGTAGATTCGATGTTGGATCCATCAAAGCCTTGAAAGCACCCGGTTCCAAGTCCATGAAGCTATTAACCATGATCCCAGCAGCCAATCGGTGACCCTTACAGAGGCTGAGAACCGCTTGGTAGGCTATATTCTTCCTATCTTGAATCGGGTCGATCAGATCGATCCCTTGAACCGGGACGCACCCTGGTAACTTGACCGGTTCAGGCAAATACCTATACTCGTCGGCAAACATTTCATCAAGCTTGGG